ATGTGTCTGTATGTCGGAGCGTATTTGACAATTTCGTCTCTATGCTGAAGAGAAAAGCAATTTTGTTTTCAATATACTATAATTCGAATTGATCTGTTATAAATTCAGTTACGAAATGATCACACATCTGCACCGTTGCTGTTAAATAGATATGGCAATAAAATGTAACCAAATAAGTCAATGGACTCGTTATCACAGCTGTTCTGTAATGGGCACTAGATGCGAATGTATGCTATATTTTATGTATCTACGAATCCTTGCCTTTGCATGAGGCAAGTAATAATAAGAATTTTAGTTTGGCGATAAAATTTTGGCACGTTAACGATTCTGTCGCAGAATTTAAACCCGGAAAATGCTCTCGCGCGCCAGAAATTGATCAATTCCTATTTCAGGCTTACGCGGTTGCGTGCGCTAAGGTGTTAATTAGGTCTGTGGACGTGGGATACTATTAACGGTGAATCTATATTTTAACGGCACATTTATTCTGGTTGGAAACGCAATGATAGGCATTAATGTGTCGATTCCACATTATTTCTACTGAAAAAAAAAATATAACATCGTAATAAGGTCTTAATTATTTTGGCGATTGCGATGAAATTCGTAAAATCTTTAATCCGTAAAAGTTTTTAAATATACCTATTTTCAAATAACGCATAGTATTCTAATACAAAGAAGATATATTCGTTAGTTGTCTCAAAATGTAGATAACATTTTTGATTGATACATAATGCTCCATGCTTTGTAACAACCCTATTTTTTCTAAAGTTTATTTTGAGCTGTAATCGATATTACATTGTTGCCAGTCATTACCACTAGCCACTTAGAGTACAATGGTACAATAATTTATGACTGTTGTGCTGTGTACTTGGTACGAGTCTATTTAGCTATTGGGAGGGAATAAGGGCATAGTTTTATTGGTACACTAATAAATAGCTATAATTGAAATACGTGTTATTATGTGGATGTAGAGTTAGAAAATATTTCAATGGATTTTAAAAATAATACTTTGATTTCTATCGGCATTAAGCTAACGCATGAAGGTCTGACATATTGAAAACGATTCTTTTTTCACTATTGTATTCCAAAAAAAGCCCATGGACTATAGACGGTTGTGTTCCAAAAAAATGTTTCACTTTACTAATAAATCTACACACTGTTCATGAAAAACACGACCAGAGCTAACACAAAGATCAGTGTATCGATAAAACAACACTTGTTGGTAATTCGCCACGCCATCAGAGCAAATACGGCGGCGCGACACGCGGTGGTTGCACAATCGACATTTACCGATTCGGTTAGTGAAAAGAAAGCGGTAATTTGCGGAAATGTATTGCCACAGAGACGTAACGAGTTCCCACTTCACCCACCACGCCCCCCACCTCCGAGCGAGGTCACGTTCGGTTCCCGCTCAAGTTACTAAGCTTCCTAACACCCCACACACACCCCCACGAAAGCAAACAACGGCTACATATGTGTGTGAGAGAGAGTGAGACAGAAATTTAGAGAGTAATTGCTCTTGTTAAAAAAAGCCGCCCGAATACATCAGAAATAGATGGCTAAGCCGGGCCTTACGCCTCGAAATGCTAAATCTTTTACATAAACACCTAACAGCTCTCTGAAGATTGCATTAATGAATTAAGCAGTGGATTCTTCTGTATTTATTTGTTGTCAGAAGACGGTAAGCGAGCTAGCGGTTTACCTATTGTTAAGTGATAGCCACCCATGGACATTTGCAACACCCGTAGGGTCGCAGTAGACTTGCCCAAGTAAAAGACGACGAGCGGAATGGAGCCCTTCCTATTACGGGACAAACGTTAGAAAGAATAGGATTACATACCGAGATTCGAACTGCATCACCGTCCCTGAACGAAGGCGTGTGTGAAACAAGACAAAGTATGATCCTGCCGAAAATCAGAACAGTGGGAGGGTCCACGGCGTGCCCATTCGTCTTCGCCCAGTCTTAACTGTTGCACGAATGGGCACGTCCGGGGAAGTACCACGACCTCACAGAAGACCGGCGTGAAGTGGAAGTGTTATACCTCAGCGTTTCGTCTGGTGAGTGAGGTAAAAGGGGTCCACTTTGTCAAAAGGGGAAACGCATCTGCGACCCTACTGGTGTTGCAAATGTCCATGGGTGGCTATCACTTAACAATAGGTAAACCGCTAGCTCACTTACCGTCTTCTGACAACAAATAAATACAGAAGTATCCACTGCTTAATTCATTAATTAAATAATTAACAATAGTATATTAATATGATTGAACCGTGTAATATGACTGTTAACATCTTTATACCATATTCAAACAAATAAATAAATAAAAATAAAAAATAATAGTAGTATAAACCAAAGTCAAAACATTGTAAAGGGCTTATTTGTTGTATGAAAGACACATGCGTAGTTGCGCAACTGTCTGTTGTCTTTATACACACTACGCAATCGTCTAGTGGAGATAACAAAGTACAACGTCACTTTTTACAATGTAAGTTCACCACGCAGATCATATCTTAATAGTACTTTGTCCTCTCATATTGATTACATAAGTATACCGTTTATACAAAAAGCGTGCTTGATTTTTTTTTTTGGTTTTGTCTGTTTGGTGAAGTAAAAAATTATTGTTTTTATTACTTCTTATTATTCCAAGTTGATTTCAGTTGATAGTGACGTACTGAGTTAGTAGTGTCTCAACGCTAAAACATGCAGATTCTCTCAAGCCGTGATAGCTCGAGTGTGCCCGGACACGCGCGCCTTTAATTCAATTTACTCGAGCAACTCGAGGAAACCTGCGTATTTTCGAAATAATAACTACCAAAATATTTCGAAAAATATTTGAAGTCTTCTTTACAGAGGAGGCCTTTGTCCAGCTGTGGGATATTTATAAGCTGTTAATTTACTTTACGTTTTATGTCGATTCTGTACCATTTTTAAATTACACAATGTGGGGTTTTCACGCGACTTAATGCGAAAAATGGTCACAGGGCAAACCATAGACGTTGTGTAGACTTACTGTCGGTACATTTAGTTTATTTTCAGGAGAGTCGATTATAATTAAGAGCTTATAGTAAGACTTATCAGTAAGCGCCCACCGCTCCCACAGCACCCATTCAAAAGTGTCAGGGGCAACTGGTCCTTTAAAAGCTGCGCTCAGAGCGGATATCGGTCCGCAGTGAACATAGGCGCTCGGCCGAGAGCCCGCAAGTCATCGCCCTCCGCGTGTTCTTTAAATAGTGGCCAGATTGAAAATACCAATTAACGTCACCCATTTAGCACGTTTCGAAACTTAACGGGGCTACATACGATCAGTTTTGGTTGAACAGTCGACACTGGGGTCGTGCACGAAAACTGATTGATGCCAAATATAAACTATTCAGTTCTTTATTATTGAGAAAAGGTGTTAAATGGCAAGCTCATCACGCGATGCTATCGGCGATTCTGGCTAGTGAACATCCGTTATACTAGAGTTGATTCCCGGCTTTTAGGTATGAATATGCTTCGCATTATCAGGTCCCGGAGTACCTAAAATGTCTCTGTATGTTGATTGCATACAGCCACAATAACTTTTAATTCGACAACAGATTTTTGACTCGATGGCGTTGAATTAATTTAAAACGGGTCTATGTAAGTGAAATTATGATGATTGATGCAACCAAAACGTCTTTAAATATAACTTTAAATGATCACAGAGAGTTCTTTATTCTAGTTGGTTTTGATTAATTAGTTTTCTCCGAAGATTATAGTAAAGTCAGTTGTCAAGAGCGATTTAAGTCTACCGAAAGTTTTAGTTTTTAAATTTTTGGTTGGTGAAAAGTGCCTCGAATATATTATGACTGAGTTGTTAACATAATTTGTTATCCTTGTTAAATTGGTATTAACGGTGTATTACAGTTTTCAAAATAACGCGAACATTACACGTGATACAAAGTAACCATAAATAGATCTTTGTCGCTAGCCTTTTTTTTGGTTCTTGCGTATGTATTCTAAAAATTAACCGATATCTTCTTGAGGTTTTGGGAAAAAAATAATTTTCATTGACCCAGAATATCGACAATTAATAAAAAGCGCATAGCACAGTAGAGCGCTTTGCTATTTAATTGTTATTAGGTAATTAAAAGGCATTTTCTCTTGAACCTGATTTATGTTACTTCGGGAATTTACTATTATATATATAATACATATATATAAACATGTATTAAATATTTGGGCTAATATAATGCAGTGTCACAGATTATAAGATCAATTGCCCATATTGATAGCCCCATAGATAAGGCGGTGTTGCCAATGTCTAGTAGTTTCACGCGGTATGCTTATTTGTACAGGCAGAAACTTATTTACAACTCTATTATTTTCTGAAGTAATCTAAAGGGCTCTATTATTTTCTAAAGGGCGGATTTTACGTTAAATAAAATTGCAATTTACATTAAATGTAAAATCCGCCCTTTTTGATTATTTTTGCCAGGCCATCATCTTCAGCAGTTTTAATTAGCTTCTGTCGATATGACATCTTTCATTCAAAATTGTTCCAAAGATCGTTCTGTTCACCGCACAGAAGTACGATATAAAATTATGATTCCGAGTTGCGTAACAGATTATCCCCCTTGCCATTCATCGATCACATGTGTCGGTGCACTTGCCAAATTTGCCACGTAACGCAGTATGGCGCACGCGAGAATGTCGTGTTTGGCCACGTCAACGAGGCTGAGGGTTTGGCATTGGTGGCGAAAGGACAGATCGTCTTGTCTAGACTTAGAAGTGCATAGTACTTTCATTTAATTTCGCTATTGGATCCATGACGTAGCTCCTTCAGATTCAATGTGCTGGCCAATCATCATTACGTTATAAAGTATTTAGTGTCCTCAGCATGCTACTATTGCTTATTTGCTAGTTTAAAGAAAAAAAATGTAACGTTGGTGTAGATTTGATCGTTTTAGTTTTGTTTTCTCTCTTTTACTAACTTGGCTTTTTGTATTTATCAAACCTGTGTGTACCAAATTACCTACATCTACTCCCCCCCCCTCTCGCACTCTGCCCCCTCTCCCCCTATCGCCCCCTTCCCCCTCTCCCGCCATGTTTCTTTCTCCCTCTCTCTCTCCATCTCTCTCCCTCTCTCCCTCTCCCTCCCTCTCCCTCTCCCTCCCTCTCTCTCTCTCTCCCTCTCTCTGCAGAAATATATGTATTTCTCGACTCTCTTATGCAAGGTAAACATGTCGTATTCCTAAATTTTCGAGTCTCAATTCTCGTCCAATTGTATAATCGACGCCTATAGCGAGTTTAAAACATTGAAAAAATAATGTCTTCGTTGTTAGATTTAAGTATTCCTTATGGATTATACCCGTGGACGTCAAAATAAGTTCGAAATTTCAGGAATCAGACAAATAACTAACATTGCCTTTATTATTTGACTAATTTTCAACATGCACGTACGTACTTGCATTTACTTCTTGCTTAAGATGTGAACATATCTAATGATTTTAATTCCAACTTTTATACAAAGGCAATATAGGCCGACTTCCATACAATACCTTCTACTCAGTGAACGCAAATAAAACATTGTTTTATCAACACGCATCAATCTAGTGTGTGACGAAATTTCGTATGTTGACTCTAAAATATATTATTATTAAACATGTATTAAATCGCGATAACCTTATTGTAAATTTCATACAAAAATATTTCCTTCGTAATATTTTCAGAACATAGTACAGGGCGGCTAAGACTCGCAAGATTTGTTTATTTCGTCGAGCGGTGTGCATTGGTTGTCTCGGCTCTGTTTCGGCCCAGAAATGAATTCGGCAACGAATAAAGATTGCGTGGTAAATTTTATTGCTTGCCCACGTCTTCATTGCTGGTACGGTTCAGTTGCGCTCGCAGTTTCGTTATTACAACCGATGCCGTAACGATGGCGTTAATGAACGTATTAAATTCTAGTTTCTGGCGTCGGCGAGTGCGCCATTCAGTCTTCTTAGTTCTGTCCAAGCACAAATTAAGCCGTTTGCGCAAATATTTGTATTTGACCATTCTTTCTAGACGATGTCTTGAAACCATATCCTGTGCATCGTTATATGACGCATATCCTGTGCATCGATATCTGTCTTTTCATTGTGTATTGTTTTTTTTTATATTTTCTATTTTGTTTTCCATTGTACCTCCCGCGCCGTGTGCTTTCCGTGTGATTTAACGGTAACTACAGAAATTTTTCGTGGACCCTCGGTTATTCTTCCGCAATCACCAAAACAATTGATACCTACTACGGACACCATGCATGACAGTCCCCAATGGTGATTGCATCCACAGAGAGTTCCAAAACTTCGTGGAAGTGTGATTTCTTCTCATATGTTTAAAGTAGAGAACGACGTAGGGAAGTAGACGCGAGTGTTTTTGCACTGTTATATCTTTAATTAAGATTATAATTTACTGCTGTTATTCATCCGTCATGATTAAACTGTTGACACGGCTTTAGGCGTCAGCGCAAACTGTTCTGGGAATGTTTTACAACACAAGTACATTTTTATTAAAAAAAAACATAACTGACTTAAATTATCTCATTCACTTTACATTTTCTATTTGATTTTGAGGAGTTCCCTGATGCATCTCCGGACTCCAAGGTCTAATACCAATGAAGTTAATGTGGATATTGGAGGTAAACTGAACTCGATACAAAAATAATTTTTAAAATCTAAATTAATAACTTCATCATTTTTGCGAAGAACAGACTACACGGTAAGATGTACATGTATACATTGTACATAAATATCAAATTGTTTGAAGTTTACGAAAAATAATTTTATAGGTATGTACTATTTTGTAGTCGATGGTAAACATGCTAATCCAAACTGGGCCAGTCTTTGATGGGAGTGCAACTAATTTCTTAAAATAATCAAAACTACTGGCTGTTAGATGGCGGCACTAGTACTCAATTCTATTGTATGCTTTTCTAAATTTGTGTCCTCAGATCTCGGTCATTTATGAAAAAAATTTTCTTTCATTGGATTTGGTTTAGGTCCCATGTTCATTTCATCGTTATTGGAGCTTAGATACAAAATGAATAGGAAGTGGGTGATATGTAGTCGATTTTGTTAATTCTAATGTTTTACTTGTTTCGATTTTATTTGTAATGTTTTACTTATTTCGATTTTTATTTGAGCCGTGATAGCTCAGTGTCCGGGCGCTCGCCTTTAATTCAATATATACTCGAGCAACCTGAGTTCGATCCCCGGTGCCGGCTCCAATGAAGTTTTTAACTTTAAGTGCTGAATTATCACGTGCTCCGCGGAGAAGGAAAACATCGTGAGGAAACCTGCATATTTTCGAAATAATAAAAAATGTATTTCGAAAATATGTGAAGTCCGCCAATCCGCAGTGGAGCCGCGTGGTGGACTTTGCCCTGATATCCTCTGTATAGAGGAGGCCTTTGCCCAGCAGTGGGACAAGTATAGGCTGTTACTTTACTTTACTTGTTTCGATTCGATCCGTTCAAATCTTCGAAGTTTTGCGTAAGAAAAAATCATATCTGAATAAAATTGGTAAATTTATTTTAACTATTGAATTTGTAACTTACATGAAATATTGTAGTGGTATAGTTATGGTGGTATTACCTTAGTCGTTTTAGCATTTTGGCTGTTATTTTACGTAAAAAGTTTTTACCAAATTGTTAAGTAAATTAAAATAACAGCCTATACAAGTCCCGTTATTAAGCATAAGCATCCTCTGTACAGAGCGTTATAGGGCATAGTCCACCACCGACTCTACTGTAGATTGGCTGAGTTAACATATCTTCGAAATATATATTTTTTGTTATTATTTAAAAAATATGCAAGTTTCTTAATTATGTTTTCCTTCACCGCTGACTTATTTTACTTTTAACTTGAAGTGAATTATCACTAATTCACTTCAAGTTAACAGATTTGTACTTAGGTTGTTGGAGTATATTGAATAAAAGTGAGTGCCGGAACACTGAGCCATCAAAAAATGCTTATATAATTATTTATTATTTCTTTCTTACTTTGGCTTTAATGGTTAAAATATTAAACTCTAAACAGAAGACATTAATTTGTACAAGATTCGATCATCCAGTTGTCGAACTCGAACTTTGTCCCATTCGTAATAAATTTGTGTGCTTCTGTATTGCTGATCTGTTTTACTCTATACCGTTTTTAAATGTCACATGTCGCGTACCTCTGTATCTTATCTCTATACATAAAGACAGTTATCAGCCTTGAGTGGGCAATACAAGAACGATGTTTATAACACTTCTGCAATATCATAGTACCTAAATGAACGAATAGCCATCAATCGGGGGTCATAATTTTAGTCTAATTCGCGTAATGTTTCTGAGAAACATTTCGTTGGTGAAATGAAGCTTTGTAGATTTACCTACGGCTTAATCCATCGAGCTTTTCAATCATGCTGCAAAAATTTTGTGACAATCGATGACTTTAGTAACGATAAAGTGTCTTACTTGAATGAATGAGTACGAACAGAAGGTCGTCATTACCACTGACCATGAGCCTAAGCATTGTCCCCGAGGACCGTTAAAGGTTTTTAATACTTAATTCAGCACGGGCCAGAAAACGTTGCATTACAATGGCGGAGGAAAACGGGCGAGGCGACCGGTTCCATTCCGGTAACATGTCAATAAGAAACTTGGTATGTCAGATTAGTCCTTAAATCTTACTGCATAAGGTATAGTTCTTTCTTCTTTTATAGAGTCTATAGGTAAATTCGACGTCGAGGAAAATTATTACCACCCTATATTTTAAAGCGTTGGTGCTTATTAGTATTATCTACGTATTCTTAAGGGTCGAGTGCTTGCTTTTAAAAATCTTGGTTGTTTTCGTTTGGGTATAAACTAGTTTCAAATCCGAACGAATACCCAACGAGCGCGGTCTTTCGCACACTGAAATCCTGTTTTGGTCCTTGTCGCCGGATTGTAACTGTTAGCGATGAAGAGTATAGCAACAACAGTGCAACAGGTTATTTGCTATTCGATCTAGCCATAACTACTAACAACATGATTCATGTTTACCATGCGTTCACCATCTAGATGGGTGAAGGGTAGGAGAAAGAAGAATAAAATATAAAAGAAACATAAAATCAACAGTACCTTAGGATACCCGCTTGTAAGCAAGAATTAATGGCTCATATCGTATTACATAAATACTTGTCTTGACTGTCCAACTACATCATTTCTTTTCATCATGTATTCTGTCTTAGGAAAAAGTTGGCAAGCGTTCTACCTGATATTAGCTCCCAGTGACCTCTCCTACTTACTGGTGTCTTAGTTGCCAACCTACCTCAAAAAAGTTTGGGGACTAAAACGCAAAAATACTACAACTACGCGAAATAATGGGCGGGTCCATCCGATTAAGTACCACGACTTCACATAAGAACGGCGTGAAGTTGAAGTGTTATATTTCTGCGTTTCTTCTTGTGAGTGAAGAAGCCGGAGTCCACTATATTAAAAGGTGGCAACGCATCGGCAAACCTACGGGTGCTGCAAATGTTTATGGGCGGCAGTTATCACTTAATATCAGGGGAACCGCTCGTCCTCATATTAAAAAATGTAATAAAGACAGCGCGTTAAAAACGGTTCGTCTCACCTATTTTCGAGTGCCGCATTTGCCGCTCGTAGCGTGACTAACGCGTTAATTGACTGACTACCTAAGGGTTAAACACCTGGGTAAAGGCCCATTTACATGGTGCCGGTTTCTTGCCTGTTGTATACAATTAAATTGAAGCAATAAATGAGTTGCATGGTCTAAACAAGAAATGGTCTAAACAATTATTGCGCGCAATTTATTGCATTCAATTATTGCTCTTGTATGTTCAAGAAAATGGCATCGTGTAAATGGGCCTTTACGGTTGGCGCGTATTGTCAAAGTCTCCGAAACGTGGCGGATTCTACCGAACTAAAGAAAAGCCAACACCTTGGCAACTGCGCCATGAAGTCATCGGTCATTATCCAGTTCATATCTAATATATAAATGATTTATATTGTATTCGATCTGTTTACAAACATTCGCCAGCTAATCGAAATGGGTCAGTCGCTTAATGGGGAAGGCCGTTGTGGTCAAGGAGTTGATTGCTATCTGGTACCACGCGGCGGTTTCTCAATCATTCTGTTTTCGACGTCGAAAACAGAATCGTTTAGTTTTCGATACCGAAAACGAGCGACGCAGTAATCACGAGTAGAGGAAGGTTGGGAAG